TGTTGTTGGATTATAAACTGTGGATTGTTCACCATGGTTTGTTATCTTAGCAGGCTTCCAACAGCAAGGCAAACCACATTTTAACAATAATCCATGATTCAATGACAACTCAACACTCAACCCATATTCAACCTTTGAATGTGGGTTATTGTGCTGTCTGAAGCCAGTCAGAAGTTTGGGTGAACTTGCCAAATGGAATACACTGCGGCGAGGGGAGAGGGTGATTAACTAATAACTGAAGTGTAGGCACTAGGCACTTTCTTCGAGCAGGATACTTGCACCCACTCAAAGCAGCTTCTTTTCTTTTGGATGCAACCAAATTGGTTTTTTGTTGTTGGCCTACAGAGCATTGTGACTACAGTGCTAAGGTGGCATTTAAATCTGCTTCACTGACTAATTCAATAAGGGGGATGGTGGTGGTGGGGAGAATCCATGACACATGTGCCACCAAATTCAAAGCTCCTCTGGGCTCTCAACACAAATCAGAAGGTGGTGGTGGAATATGTGGATATATTTGAAGGGAAAATAAGTACACCACCTGCAAGGCTGGCATGCTCTTGCCGCCCCCCAACCCCAGGATAGGAATGCTGGCAGAACAGGAGAGCTTTTGATTAGCTGTACTGAAAGCCTTCTCTAGCATGCCCCTCGAAATTTCTGTATTTGATATTACTTCTGATAGAAAAACTGGCAGATGTTTCCATGCCCACAATTAGGAGGCTTATAAAAATGGATCTCACTCCTGGCCCATGGACCTCATTTAGGACTTCAGCCTCCATAACAAAAGAAGTGAATGTAATCACTGTGTGTATGTACCTCTCAGTCATTTCACAGAAGGCAAATATGCCCATTCTCCTTTTTAATTAAAACAGATGATGTAAAAGTTGCCTTGCTTTTTCAGGACAAAGATTAGTCTGTTCCAGGTTTCAGTCTCCAACAGTGGGTAGCCAAATGTCTCTGGATCAGAGTGTGAGGGAAATGGCCATTCCCTGCTCATAACCCCAACTTGCATTAAAATCAAAATTGTACTGTCTTGGAATGCAGCATACTCTTCGTGAAACTAAAATTTCTATAGCTGTCAGTATTAGCCATTGACATAATCATCCTCCCTAAATTTGCCTAATCTTTGAAGTTGTTTGAAGCTTCTGGGGCCAGCATCAATCCTGTGTCAGTGAATTCCATAACTTACGTATTGGCTTGTATGTTAGTTTCTCCACACTACTCCTAATTTTAAAAGCTTCCAATCCTTTCTCTTAGTTGCATTCTAAAAAGTCCCAACTTCTTCAGCATTTGCACATTTGGAAGATGTTCTCAAGCTAAAATCCTATGCATGTTTACACTGCCAAAGAGCCTGCAACTCCCACTGTGCACCAGCCAGCATTCCTGGCTGTAGCATGCTAGGAGTTGTAGACCCTTTGTGGTCTAAACATGTGTAGGATTGGGCCTCTAATCAGTTCGTTGACTACAACTCATAAGTTGGATGGGCTTAAGATGTCTTTAATAGGTGCAATCCTACCCATGGCTAGCTGAGAAATGCTGCCAGTTGTAGGCCTTTTTCCTTGTCTTAACATGAGTCCTTCTGGTTGCCCACTTCTTTAGCATTTCCAGCTCTATGTAATCCCTTTTGAGATGGAGAGAACGACACACAATATTTTAGATGTGGGTGTACTGCAGATTTATGTAATAGCTTCTTGATCGTCAATGTTTTATTTTTAGCTCCTTTCCTTATTATCCCTAACACTGGATTTACTGTTGGGAATCATAATTTAATGTATTCACTATTGCAGCTCACTGAGCTAATTTTTCCAGGCTATAGTCCTAAACACTATTACAAGAAGGAAGCCACAGTGAGCTCAGTGGGAGTTACTTCTGGCTAAATATACCCAGCACTGCACTGCCACTGACTTTTCCACCATGACCTTAAGTTCTGTTTCCTGAGTTGTCAAAGTCAACATCACTTCCCATAAAATATAGGTGAGGGTACTGCACACATGGACAAGAAAGGTACCAAAAGAGAAAAGGCAGGAAACAGGGTTTCATACATGGGTTCATGAAAAATATGGTCACCTTCATGATGCCATGAAACCCACAGAGAGGATGTCAGTACTCAGGAGGAAATCCACAGCTTCTGGGTAGCTGAAGGAAACAGATCTACTTGAAACAGACTTTAAATTTATGTTTGCTTTGGCCCTAAGCAGGTTTCCTGGAACACTAAGGGCTACACTTTTATGTTCAGGGAAAAACAAAAGCCCAGAGTCCATAAGATGTCACACTAAATATAGGAATGAACCATCTATTTCCCTCTCAGTACCCATTTGTGTTTTTCCTGTCAGCACCTAGTCATGACTGATGTTCAGATAACATAAAAGGAAGGCAAAGATTCAAGCTGCATTGGGAGAAAAGGTACTGATCAACCTTCTTTTGCCGTGAAACATAGTTTACTAACATAGGCAAGTATGTTGATTTCAAAACAAAACAGTTTCTCATCTGATAAGTTTCTCTGACTAACCTCCCGCATAGAAAAAAATTCAATTCCATTGTCAAGTAGCAATTGAATAGGGCCAATGGCAATGCCAGATCAAGTTGGCACATAGTTGATACACAGAACAGATTTTATGTAACATCATAAAATTTATTTGAATTTGCCATGGGGATTCCTTGGGTTTTGTTCAATGGATGCAGAAAGGAAAGGATACCCGTGGCGCTGCTGCTGATGTTCATCTCAGGCCCACCATGCATAAGGTACGTCATGATGCAATTTAGAGCGTAGGCTTATGCATGTTTGGACAGAAAAAATGCCTACGCTCCCAGTATTCTAGAGCTGGGAGTTGTAGGCCCCTTTTTATGTCTAATCTGGCAGAGGATTGCACCTTAAACTAATGTAATTATACCGTCCTTAGTTGTTCTGTCAGCACAAAGTCCTTCATCATGGAATAATTCCCTGAGGACCAAACCCCTGTGTTTCACTACATGAATGCAATGTTGAGGATCATACCATAGGTGCAATTGCACTTGTGTTTGGTTTTGACTACTCCCTCTTGCATCAGAACACCATATGATCAGGCTACAAAATGGAAGTAAGTATGATATGGATGCAAGCTGAATTATTAGGCATGAGAGTTCAAAGACGCCTTACATCCAAGCCATTTACTTGGCAGAGTTAAATGAAGAAGTAATTCTCCCTTTGCAGAGGAAATAACTTGTGCAGATTTTTGTTTATTTTTTTCCTGCAAATTGCTGTGATGGGCTCTAAAAGAGATAAATAGTGGAACTTGAGTTGGATCCAGGGTTACTCATAGTTGAAGCAGACTTACTGGAATCATCTGCACTTATGTCAGTCACTAACTTCTATTGATTTCGATAGGTCTAGTCTTACTATGACCTTTTGTGTAATATCCAAGCCTGGTTAATGTTTCAGCAAACATTTTTATTGTTGAGAGTTTTTAAGTTTTAAAGTTTGAGTTGAATCACTCAGATGATGGCCCCCATGATCCAACTGCCTAGTATTCTCTAAGTTTCTCAACATCGATAGGGGAGATTCTAACCCCAGCCTCACAAGAGTTAGAACAATTTCTGAGTATTGCTTTGGCAACTGCCATATTTTCTCCCCCCCCCCGCCCCGCCCACACCCCCACCAACTGTCTACCTATCTACCTATCATCTAGGGAAATTGTGCCTACAGTTGCACAATGCTAGCAACATCTTTCAACTTTGCAGGTAAGAACTTTTACAGAGATTATAAATCATCAACAAAACATTGACATTCAAAATACAATCATCCAGGTTTCCCAGCCAGCTAGGCATGCCTTCTTCCAGAGTACTGCATTCCATCATCTGCCTTCTTGCTTTTTACGTGCTCCCCCAAGCAACCAATGAGATGTCCATGCTCAGTGCTCATTGTGGAGTTCTCCAGTTTTTTTCCTAAAGATCATTTGTACTTCTGCAAACTTTGTTTTCACAACCTCCCCTTTTGTGTACGGATGTGCCTGAACTGGTTACACTTAAAAAATTACTTGGAGAACTGGGTTTACAATTGGTATTTTTTAAATTCAGGTTTCTGTGTGCTCCCTCTTTTTTCAAGCTTTGATATGATTCATTTAACTACTCTCTCATTCTGAAAATGTAGTTCTAATATAACCTTCCATGTTGAGTTGCTCCAATTGTCTTATTTCCCATCCCATCATGACTCATTTAGTCTATAGGCTCAGTTCAGTCATCTGGGAGTGCAGCATCTGGATGTGGAAGGAAAGGCACTGGAAGCCTAACAAAGCAATTCTTTTATTTCTGTCTACTTCCACCACTTATGTATACGCAGGCACATTAGACCGTTATGGGAAAGAGACGGCTTTTATGCACCTGCCATATACCCATCTAGCCTGTTCTCCTACCCAGTCAGCCAACACATGCTTAAATAGTGACCAAACAGTGCGTAAAGATAAAGTTGCTGTTCCCCACAACTGCCTGGTGCTGCACCTATGAAATTTTCTACATAATCCCCTGTATCCAGTTTTCTAATCCCCTGTATCTAGTTTTGGTTTTGTGGCAGAACTGAGACCCAAGCACTACACAAGGAGTGTTTACTCGCCTGCTTTCCCACTGTATAAACTCTAGGAGATTCTGTGCTATAGGAGAATATTGCAGATACATAGTATGGCTTTCAGAATGAAATGCTACATTTTCCCTGCTCTTAAAAATGAAGAGAAAAAAAGAAAAATACCCTTAATGAAAGTGCTTGTTAGACACAGAAGCAAAACTGGAGACTCCTGACAGTAAAGAGCATGTAAACAACCCTGAGTAGCAAATGACAAGCGTATGATACATATCTGTGAAAAAACTCATGCATGAACCAATCTGTGATGATCTGGGTGGGGTTGGTGGACAAGTAGTAGGGTTTTATTACATCCTATGGTTAGCCCTCTGCTTGTGAAAGCTATGTCTGATCAAACCCATATAATTTTAAGAAATCAGTTGTGTTGTTTCTTATAAAGCAACTCCAATAAAAATAATTTTGTAAAAAAAGAGTTTATTATCCACAAGGAAGAGCAATAGGAAAAATTAAATTGTTTTCCACGTATTGTTTTCTTGAAACAGAGTCTACAAGGACATATTCAGCACCAAACTAAAAAAGAAAAAAGAAAATATAATACAAACAGCCATTGAATATAATCTATAAAGCAAACATTAAATATTGCACTTTGTTTCTCTAACATTTTGGGTTTTACTTATCCCCCCATGTTTTTAATTAGATTATTTTGAATACTGGGTTACATTTCTGAACCTCATATTTTACAGTGTCCAGAAATTGACCAATATTTTATGAAATCAGAAATAACAGTAATGCCACAGAAAGGGTAACTTTTTTTTTTTTTGTAAAAAACAATTTTATTTTTATAGTGTTTACAACTTTAAACTTGATCACAAAATTGATGTGATGCAATGCCAATTATTACAATATTGGTCAATCCTGCATCATATGGAAACTTTCATCATACTGTGAAAAATGTAATGCTATGCATAACAGCAATTGTTCCCTAGTTAGTTGAAACAAAAACAGCAAAGGAAAAAAAAAAGAAAACCACCAAATGCCCTTTTATGCCACTATCCCATTAAAATATTGTTTAACCTTCTGTGGAAAAGGGACATTCATATCACTTAGAAAGGTTTTTTTCTTCTTCTTCTTCTTCTTCTTAAAATTCCATCACTCCATTTCCTTATTATCCAGTATAGGAAATTTGCTTGCTTGCTGAAGGCCAAACTTTGTTAAGTGAATCACTTAAAACGTGACTCATTCTATACTGTTTATTTTTCACCCTGTTATTGTTCAAACATGAATTGTTGTCCATGTTTTATTAAAGGCCACTTATTGAAAAGCCTATCCTGTTTGTTATGAAGCCTCAGAGCAAGACAGATTCGAATCAGTGGAGCTTTACCCCAGAGAAAGCAACCTTTAAACTTGTTTGATTGTTGTAAAGCGTGCGGTTAGCACAAGAGCCATCCTGTTGTCACCCTGAACATTTGGATTTAAAAATAGTTATGAGTTTAGTAAGACAGTTGTGCGTGAATTATCTTTAATGCTGAAGTGCTAGCAGTTGTGTCAAGAAACCCCAATAATGTATACCAGCTTACACTCTATCATCTGTGCTGGACCCCCACTCTGAATTTTGCAATCCACAGCAAATCCCTACCAGTTAGTTACAGCTATCAGTTTTACTATTCTGAGTCACTGTTAATTCTTCATACCTGGAAAGAATGTAATTTGAGTGGCAGCACTAACTGGGACATATTTTCTAAGAAGTGATCCCCTTCTTACTAAGGTATACTATCCCTTTGGGAGAAGACTTCCTCTGTCCCAAACTAAAAGTTCATTATAAATCTTTTCCACATTAGTAATCATGAATAAGAATGTATAAAAATATATTCACTTTCCTACCCACCCCCGTGGCTGAGAAACCCCAATGCAAATCACTGTAGGAATCATACATGACTTTAACTCTTGCTTGATATACATTGGGTGCTACCTCTTGTGGCTCTTCTGAAAACATCTGAATTTGACTAAGGACTTTTATGTTTCATAAAGATAATAAGAAGTGAGGATGTGTTCATTTGCGCATGTCCCTTTTCCAAATCACCCTTTCCAAATTAAAAACAAAAACAAAAAACAAAGTAACAAAAACAGAAAGCGAAAAAACTCAGCAGTGCAACATAAACACAAATAGCATTTCAACATTTTGGCAAGTGATGAGTTCACCTGAGATTAAGTGATTTTAGGCAGTCTGTAACAAAATTCTTCTTTGCGGTAATAGTAGAAAGGCAACAAATTCTTAAAAAGGAATCGAGAAGGTATACAATCTTGACGAAGACTCCTATTAGTTTCCTTCTCTTATTTTTCACCTCACATATCTGTTGCTTGTCTACTACAGTAGGCTGCAAAACATACCGCAAAGATTGGCTTGAAGGCATTTGATGTTTGTAATAAATCCACAACAGGATCCAAGCTGAAGAGGTGATACACGGATCAGTCTTACTGGGACAATTCTGAGCATGTGCATATGCAGGAAAAGTCCAGACTATATAGTTTGTTTTTCTAACAATAAAAAAGTCAGTGCATTTGTCATCATAAAGTTTTCAAAGCTTTCTTCGCTCCTTGTTGTGCGGACCACAAACAAGTTAAAGGGGTTAACAACAGTCCAACATAAATGAGAAAAAGCTGTAGTGACACAGAACCGCACAACGAAAGCATTGCGCATGTGCAAATTTTCAAATCAAAAGAGGAAGTCATCCCTCTTGCAACACGGTGAGTGTTTTGACACACGAGTGTAGGCTATTAAGGCTGCTCTTAGAATGTGCCAGAATACAACAGGGAGGGAAAGCTCAGGTCTTCAAGCATGAAGAGCAGTCCTATGATGTTTGCTGTAGGCTTCAAAAGCATAATCACAGGTTGTTTCATTGTTTCACCTTTTCTTTTAGGCAGCAACTTCCATGGAACGCCTTTATTCTCACTGTGGCGGAAATACAAGTCAGACCCCAGTCAACTTGGCTTAGGATGCATTCCTTCAGCGAGAGGGACAGGTTGGCCTGTCATCTGAGGGCTGATCTGGGTTTGGATCAATCTAAGTGAAAGAGAAAGAAAACCCAAAGGGATTAATGCTTTCATTTAGAAAAGCGATACCCTTTTTAAAACAACAGTAAGATGAATGATTTAAACTGTAGATTTACTTGAAAATATTCAAAAGTTCTCCACTGTTTTTGCATATTTATTTTATTAATTTGCATTATATGAACATGTTATAGTGTTCCCAGTTAAGAGGTCCTGCTAGCTTATAGGTATGGAACAGCTGGAAAAGCTGCTGAAAAAGCAAATGAGAAAAACTCTCAGCTCCAGAGCCTAATTCTGCAAGTCAGGTGTCTTATTGGCAATCATCATATGTCCCAATATAGAAAAACATGAGCAACAGAATGTTACATGAGATTTCACAATCAGCCTCTGCATGCTGCAGTCACTCATGTCTAAGACTGGGATACCAGCTAAATAGCTATTCGAAAATCACAACAAAATACATGGACCTCTTGTCCCCAGATTCATCTTATAGCCAATTAAGGCAACCTACAGTAAATAAAAAGTAGGTTGGGCATTTAACAAGTAAAAAGAATACCCCCAGTATACATTAAGTACTTAAAACATTAAAGGAGCATTCCTAATCATATTTAGATGGAATAAAGGCCTACATCTACCAGCATGGCCTGGCTGGCCATCAAGTATGATTTCACCCTAATGAATTTGCTAGTACTACTGTGACAGAGAGACTTCCACTAAGTAAAACCAAAAACAGCTCAATCTTACCCATGCTTACTTGGGAAGTAATTCCTATTCAATGTTCATATGAGTACAATTAGGGTTACTGCCCAAGCTAATTAACTGTTGAATTATGAGCTATAATGAATGTCCTTCCAAATATAAAGTATCACCCAAAAATAAGGATGCACTGCAGTAAGTGACATTCAAAACATGGTTAACCAAAACTGAAGGAACTGGCTAAATAGTGCTAAGTGGTTTGCAGGTGCACAAAACAACCCTGCACTTTTTAATAATGACAGGACCCTACAAGGTAGAGCAAGATCAGCTAGGATGAGATATAGATGCATCAGTCATGTATGTTCTGAAATGTATCTCAGGAAAAACAGCAAGTTTTAAAATAGAATGCATAAGTTTACATGTTTTAATGTTACCTCAGAATAAAGTGGAGGTGGTAGGAATCGGAACTCTTGGATGTAGGCGAATAATGGTCCTTGAAGTGCTCTCTCAAAGTCATCGCAAGCAGCTACAGGTGCTAGGCTGGACTGCCTTTGCTCCTCAGTGACCACTTCTGCATAGCTAGGAGGTGCTGAAGGTAAAAGTACACGCAGTTCGAACAATGTTCTTATGCATGTCAAGATATATAATATGACAAATATATTAAACTCTAGTTATGTTTATTTGCACAAGGTAGATATAAGAAAGGCTTAACTTTCTAAGTACTGGATAGTTTGGCAACTTGACTTAATTAAAACATTAAAATGACTGGGCTTAAGAACAGATTTACCACCACATTCGGTTATGGTTCATCCACTCACATATCTATATCCTTTTTGGAGGTCTCTGGGGATGACGCTAACTAGACTTCTCCAGTGCTAACATGAGGAATACCCAGGAGTAAGGGAATAACACAATGTATGGAAGCTTTGTTGAAGGAAGCCAGTGAAAATGACTTCAATGTGGACTGCTTGTAAACCTATTCTATATCTGCACAATTCCACAGATTTAGGTGTATCTCCATCCTATTTCATCCCTTTTCCAGGGAAGAACAGGGCTGTACTTCTCTTCACTGGAATGATTTTGTGGAGATCCCTACTGTTTGTGCAACATAATTATACAGATTTGTATTGATGAGATACTAACAGAATAATGGATCTACAGGGAAATCACTAGGCTAGATGGAATCTGTTCATTCAAATTACCTTCTGGTCTTTCAGGCAGGGACAGACCAAGCCAGTTCATATTCATGCTACATTGACTGCTCACACTTGAAGTTCTGCTGCCAAATGGGTGTAAAGGAATAGTACCGATGACAAGTGGCAAGTTAAGAAATAAGTCCATTGCACCTGGAATATCCACATATACCTGGAAGATAACCAAATTATTGCAAATCATTAGAAACTAAATCAACATCCCCATAAACATACCAAAGAAAATTAGGACTGGGGTGTTAAATGTCAAAAAGTTAAACTAGGTTCCTACCATTAGAGAATATTCCACACGGATTATACTACAATCAAGGATGGAAGGGGAGACGGGTGGAATTTTTAATTGTTTGCCATTCCAGGTTTCTGTCTTCCCTGATGACAGGGACTCCCCACGCAAGTTGGCAACAAGCTGCTTTACTTCCTTCATTTTCCCTTTGGCATAGAATGCCTGTGTTTGATAAATGGCCGCCTTTGGCACCACCATCCTGGAAGAGCAGTTCTCAACCTCTGCAAAGATCTGGATGGATTCACCTTGAATAAAACACAGAACATGAACATTAGATAGAAATAGGAGAAACAATTCAGACATTACTACAGTCAGTAATATTTTTCTTACTAGTTTGGGCAGTGGTAAGGATAAATTCCAGTGAGAACAAGATCCCTTTTAGCAACAAGACTATGGAACTAGGTGCAAGCTTCATCTTTTCAAACTGATGAGAAAACTAACATTGTTTGCAACATACTGCACTGTATGCATAGCCTTAGGTTAGCTTATATATCGAGGGATGGCTGGAACATTTCTTTACTTAATCCAGCACATGCACATGACTCTCTTAAATTGATACTGAAACAAAAGCAAAGAAATAGCCCACTTCCAGCAAACTTCATATTACATACCTGGGGTGTAGCCCTTCCTTTCAATTTTGGCACTTAAGGATATTGGGCCTGAGGTACAAAACCAGCAACAGAGAGTCTTTTCTTTTGTGCCTGCTTGGGGTGACTGAAAGAAAAATAAAACATACACACTCAATTACATTTTTAGATCAGTGAAAATTATATGGCTCTACAGATTTTGTAGGGTTGCTTCTAGAAACTAACTTTTCAGTGAAGGTAACTAGAAATCCTTCCATAATATAAAAATTGCCTTATAAAAGCAGTCTCTGTGATCAAGGTTGTTAAGACCTTTGGTTGCTGTTCTTCCCCATGCCAGTTCTTCTAGTATAAATACACTAGCAGTGATCAGTGCAACTGACATCCATCTGGCCTTTATGTCAACATGCCAGTGAAAGCAAACTACTTGCATGAGTAGCAGGAAAGCTTTCTATTACCTATTTCAAAAGTAATGCAAAAGAGGAAACTATTATACATAACAAATTATCAGATTTCTTTAGTGTCCTCATGCTCAAAGACTTAAGTGTCACTGGGATGGGCCAAAGCTTGGTAACAGAGCACATTCTTTCCATATGGAAAGGTCCAGGTTCAATGTCTGGCATCTCCAGGTGGGGCTGGGGAAGATTCCTGCTTGAAATTCTGGAGAGCTGCTGCCACTCTGTACACATGATACTGAGCTAGATGGATCACTGGTCTGACTCAGCTTTCCTATGGTAGTCCTACTGACAGGGTAACAGTTCAAATCTACCCCACTATGATTCTAACCATGTTTACTTAGACATAAATCTCATAGAATGAGGTTAGCCTCCCAATAGGTAAATGTAGGATTACAGTGTTACTAAGAAAAAGCAACAGATTACAACTTACAGCCAAGGTCTACAATTCAGTTAGGCTGAAGTTCTTGGTTTTAAGTCCCCACATATGGCCCCAAGCAAACATAGTACTTGATTCTATGTGTGCTGACTCAGAGATAAGTTCCGCTATGTTGCTCAGGTTTACCCTCAGAGTGTAATGCAATATGCACCTAGGTGTTAAGTCTCACAAAACTCAGCAAGTCTTTCTGGGTAAACATGCATGTGATGCATAATTGCAATACTTGCCAGTGTTTGGGAATAAGCAAATTGTGATAAATGGAAGTTGCTTTCCAGTTACATTTTGGATCATGCTGTTCCGTGGTGTAAGTTTAATGGGCAGGGCCATAACTTGGTGGCAGACAACATGTTTTATATGTAAAGGGTCACAGATTCAGTCCTTGGCATCCCCAGGAAGGGATCCTGGCTGAACCCCTGGAGAGCCACTGCCAATCAGTGTTAACAATACTGTGATAGCTGGCTCAATGGTATGACTAAGTAAAAGGCAGATTGCTATTGCAGTATATCTCTTTGATTTATATTCTAAGCAAGTATGCTTAATATCATAGCTTTATACTCACTGTACAAAGCTTTTACTGCATTAAAATGAAGTCCAGGTTTAAGATTTTAAGCAAGTTTCAAATATGTTTCTTAAAGTTTAATTAAATTTCAATGGAAATTATGTCTAAATAGACATGCTGAGAATTCTAGCCTTAGCCTCAAAGCTTCAGCACATTTATCTGTGTGGCTTCACTGAACGTTTATTGTGTGAAGGGATGTTCCACCTGCCCTTTATTCTTGAACACTTTTCCTGCTTCCTATAAAATGAGGTTGTTCACTTTGGGTTAGGATTGTTTCCAAATATAACAATGCTCGTTATTATTTCATTGCATTTGTATCCCGCCTTTTTTCCTCTCACAAGGAACCCAAGGCGGCTTACATAGTCTTCCTCTACTCCATTTTTTATTTCTCAACAATCCTGTAAGGTAGGCTAGGCTGAGTGTGGGTGACTGGCCCAAAGTCACCCACTGCACTTCATGGCTGAGTGGGCACTAGAATCCGAATCTCCCAAATCCCAAGTCTAACCACTACACTACACTGTTGTTTATTCTACAGCAATTGCAAATTAAGAGCCTTGTCCCAAACTCACAAAAATCTATAGAAATATTCCTCTTGATTTTGGTGTGTTTTAGACAAGGTTCTATATCTTCCATACAATAAGCAAAAGAACCCTGTTTCAATGGACTTTTGTGCGTTCCATTTTTACATATTTATTGTAATTAAAAATGAGAATAAATAAATAGTTTGAGGTCAAATTCAAATAATCTTATAAGGTCTTTAATACATTGTCAAAATAAAATTTTATGATAACATACAGAAGTATGATCATTTCTCCCCACTTGATATGCAAGTTATCAGTAGTATAATAATGAATAATGCACTGCAGTACAATTGTTTTACATTGCTTTGTCAAGCTGCAAAATTCTCAAGCTGTTCTTAGAGAAATAAAACTGTTCCACATAGAAGCCAGTTAATCTTTATTAGAACAGTTAAAGTACATTACTTAAAAAACAAGCAGCTTAAAAAGTACTTGATTAAATTATACAATATGCTACCACTTATTGGTTGGTGGGTCATTATATCTGTTACTTTAAGTATTTTACTTTACTTAGTTATCGTTACATATTTTGATATTTCAGAGACAATGTATCGCTGTTTTTTTAATGCCAGAAACAAAGAATGAGTAATTCTGTCAATTCTTACCAGTAATGAAGGAGTGTTGATATCTATATGTTCAAAGACTGTAAATTCCTTCTTTAATTTTACTGGTAGAAGCCAAGGCCTGTGCAATTCTGCTTTCACCCAATAGCGCACACTGCCATGTCTGCCTTCAAATGAGGTAGCAAGTGGTCTGTTCAGGACACAAAGGTCAAAGCTGAATAAGTCTTTATCTCTTTTGTTGTTTAACTTAAGTATATACTTAATCCAGGTAATAATTATTAAGTTGTACTGTACTGTTAATGCATCATAGTATGTAAATTAAGGATAATTTTGTAGGATTTTCATGTTTAGTTTGGGAGAAATATCTCTGTAGTTAATTGCTCAATAGTTCTACAGAATATGACCATTACTTGTATTGGAATTGCACTATAATATGCCACAAGGATACCCTGACCTAACCCACAACACAGTTAAACTAAGGAACTTGGATTTGCAGCATTTAGTCTCACTGAACTGAATGGGAACTAAATAGGCTTAAATTCAAGTTAACCAGCTCAACCACATTCAGGATCAGGCCAAGAGATTATTTACTTCTGCAAGAGGTCACTTTTTCGAAGGAATAGGTAAAACACAAAATATTAAAACAATTATACTGCTTTGAAGCAGCTGACTTTTAAAAGGGCCCAGATCCTAAGACAACTCAGGCTTCATAAATATGCTCACAAATACTTCACAGGCAGAGTCAATGTCTGTAGATGTTCTTTCAATTCTTGCAGTGCTTACTGTTTTGTAATTACAGGGGTATTTTCATGTTCATAGACATGGAAAATAAGTTTAAGTATACAAAAGTAGTTTATTCCCTTCATTCTTCTATATTTTAAGTAAAGCTGATGTACAAGACCATTAAAGAAAACAACAGCCTTTATATTCTCTTGTATTTGAATAAAGGCAAACAAGAGTTCTGCTTATCCCAGAATGAAGTCTTTGTATTCCTTGGTATCATAAATGCACCTAGAACATCAGAATTAAAATAGTAAGGATATACTACTTCCATGCATTGTAACAGAACAATTGCTTTCTCCTGACAGCTTAAATTCCTATGAAACACATTCATTAAAAACGGGGTTGAACTAAAGGTTTGGATGGTTGGGCATTATCCCATGCCAGTTTTGAAACCAACAAGATTATCCAACCTGGTCTTATGGTTTTTTTTCCTACCTAGTCTGAAGAACACAGTTCTACAGGTTGAACTACATAAGTAGCTGTTGGTGAGAATTTTCCTCTGGATGCTTTTTACTTGTAAGTTTAGTAAGTTAATATGACTCTTTCTTTGAAAATCAAACTCCATTGAAGAATTTTCAAAAATACTGATATTCTGGATAGAGTAAGTGTAAATGCCATCATGCTGCCTCTTTGAGAAGCAATCCTGCATGGTACAAACAATGCAAACATTGAAAATTGCAGATACTCAGAATAAAGCTTTGCATCTGCTTTAAATGTGCAATACTACAGCAGCATCTGCTTCATATTGCTGCAATTTTTCTTATCTTGGTGATTATGTACAAGTTTCTTTATGAAAGTTTCCTTGTCTTTTACTTCTGTGCTTCCATTTCCTTCAATCTCTTCCAATCCCTTATTATATATTCTTCATATATTTATCAATTGATCCCATGTTTAAACTCTCCCTGTGGTTATCTGTCACTCCCAGTATACTTTTTTTACTTTCTTCCAGTATATGAATCAACATATATTCAGAGCTGCCTTACTGGGTCGTTTTTAAAGAATATGTCAATGTTATGACATTTTAAAACATGAAATGTTTCCCCCATCTTTTGACTGAAGTCTCTTCACGTCCCATCCATCTGCCTTATTCTGGCTTTATTCATGGAATCACTCACAAATGGGAAGCCACTGCTGGCACTTAGCAAGTCCCTTGTACTCAATGTATCCCATGTGGGTCTGATTTATGCCTTCCTGGAAGTTCTGTTTCAACATGTTCAGTTGAGGCGACCAGCTATCCAATTCTGTACAAGCTTAATTCCACAGGAAGTCATGACAGCAGCTCTAAAAGTCTAATGATCAGTCCTATTTTGAATAAGGAAAACAGGGCATGGGAAGAACAAATTAAATATGAATGTGCAACAGGTTTTAAAGGGGAATTATTGATAAGCAGTTAATAGCTGAGCCTGATTTTTCATGAATTTGCCACTTTAGATCAAAGCAACCTCTAAAGAGATTATTAGGACAGAGTCCTTGTAGCATATTCTAGTGCAATCCTTGTGACCATTGAAAAGGGTTTCTTCTCTCCTCTACCCTATCTCCACATATGAGCTATCTGTCTACAGATCTGTTCTCTGTATGCTCGTTGAGTCTCATTCTACAGCCCAAGCTTTACTTCTACTTACGTCTGTGGAAGCTCAAAGCTGAATGCATATTCATGCCGTCCTGAATGAATGATATGGAGGCCTTCTTCAGAATTATCATCATCTAGGAGGGAAAAACCCAATATGCTATTCCACCTGTAAACATTGTACACACACATTATACAGGATGACTTGCACTGAATGGAATTAACAGAGGTACACTAAAGAGGAACAAAATTACACACCACATCCTCATTTGGGTCACCCAATTGGCAGTAATGTCCTTTAAGTTCCATAACTGGTCTATGATTAATTCTCAAGAATGTTTGCTTGAGTCACACTAATAATTCTTTTTAAAATTCTGCATCCAATTTAACTCACTGGCAGTTCATATTCACTCCCTTTTCTCCTTATTTCCTTCTCCTGTTACCTATTCTGCTGTCTAAATTAAAACATTAAGGTACACAGGGGCAAGGTTGTATTTTTTCACTGAGGTTGCTTTCAAACATATCTTGAGGAATAATCTCAAATGATCTAATATGCATGTACCTCTTGCAATAAATTTATGAAAAAAAACCCAAACAGGTTTCTTAATGTTTGTTTAGCAGCAGTCTTCAAAAATGATACCATTCCAGTACTTAGTACCCTATTTAGATAGCATGGGTCCCATTGAAACTAATATATCTACCTTCACATAAAGTATTCAGGATAGGTGTTAAAAAGGCCACAGTTTAAAATAGAAAATGTTTGTCCTGTTCAGGACCCTATGAAAGTACTGGGCAATTTACACTGTGATCAGTTGCTACATTCTATATAATAAGTATAGCTACCAAGTTTTTTTTTTTAATATACTAACTGAGGTACAAGAAAAGGAGGATCCAACATATATTTTAAGGGATGACATTCCTTGTCCTATTGATTCCTTTGTTGCATTAAATATCCAACAGAAGAGGGCCATGTCCTCCTGATCTTGGTATATTTGCTGGCCTCTTGTTATCTTTTCTGAAGAGTGGGTTGCTCCTGGAGCAGAAAACTGCGGATCCAAGAGTACTTTTGGGTCGGGAGGATGGGCCAGGCACTCACCCTCCTCTTGCACTCTTGATCTTGACGCTACTCGTCTACTGAAGTCGCTCTGCCTACTGGGCCTGCTGGCCATGCCTGCCGCGGACTCCACCTACCGGGAGTCCGGGCTCCCTAGCCACGGCTCGGCTGCCCCGCTTGCTGCCCCAGCAGCGGCGGCAACCGGCGCCCGGGAAGGCGTGGGGCAAATCCCGCTGGGCTGGGACGCGCTCCTCAAAGCGCGGGGCGGAAGCGCGGGGCGCAATGCAGCTCGGCCGCTGCGGCGAGGCGCTCTGGGGCGCCGCGCGGCGACTCCTTGCGCGTGCCCTTGAATGAGCCGGGCAAAGCGGGCACCGGCCGCGGCCGAGGGCCGCCCGCTTGCCTCCCTTCTCGCAGGACACCGGCGAAAAAACAGGCGCCGCGCGTCAAGCGAGCCGCATCCAAAACGATGTACGGCTGCCTGCGAGGTGGCTCCCTTCATAAGGCGTCCCAGAATGTGGCCATCACTGTGGGGGCGGCTTAACTCCTTTTTTAAATAGAAAACGAACGTTCATTAAAAACGTGTGTGGGTTTTCTAAATCCCCGTGTTATTTTGTGCCATGTTATTTTTTTAAACCGTCCCCGTCTTGTCCTCATCTCCTTCCCTTTCTTTCTGCCAGCTCAGCAGTTTTCTCTCAACCCCAGCAAGAAAAGAAGCGCCGCCGCCTCCAAGCTGTGGTAAACAACTGCTGAGCTGTCAATCACAGACTAGACTCGAGCAGGAGAGGACCGGCCTAAACCGGTGCGAGCAGAGCCCCAGCCAGCCGCTCATATGCATACAGTATACATTGCACGCCACAGCCAGCGTATTTGCTCAGTGGGCTCCGCCTCTCAACCGAACTTGCTAGTCGTGGGCGTAATGGGGAGCTGAGGGGAGGAGGCAGCGAGAGTCGACCAGCCGCGCTTCTCTGAGCTTCAGCTTCCGGTCTCCGAGGCTGGCATGCCAGCTCGCGGTGGTTCCCTTCAGCTGCGCCGTGCAAACGTGACAAAAGGCACTGGCCCTTCGCCGCGACGTGTGTGTAATTTAAAATAATGCTAATGGACTAATTAAGAGAAAGGGGTGAGGCGGGGCAATCGTCAGGAAAGGAGCGGGGTTCCCCTTTGCAAAGCTACAGTATCCTGGCGCATTGCTAAAGAGGGGGAATGCTCTGCTGAAGCCGGGGGAGACAGCCGTTTAGGCAAGATGTGGTTTCCAGGCTCCCACCCCGCAAATCTCCTTGCTGGAAAAGAAGGGGGATGGCTGCATCGTGATGCGGGGCGAAGTTCTGCACTAAGTGTGGTGGGGTTAGAGGTCTATATAGGGGGGAAAAAAATCTCCCATTTTACGTCTGGAAGGGAACACGGAAGTGAGTCTGGACACCTGCTCAGGGGTAGGCTGGTCCTAGGAATAGACAACCCGTGGCAAGTAACGGGCACCATCGCATTTTTTTGCGAGAATCAGCCGCGTGTATAGGTTCGGAAATACGAAGCTAAGCTCCGAAGGACATATTCAGAAGCCAGCGCCAAAGCTTTTTTGGCAGGCACGGTAGGGGGGCTATGCTTTATCTTACGATGACGTCCAGCTTTTGCTATAGGGGAGTGCACTATCCTGCTCCTTTCGTTAAGATGCAATGGATACGTGGCAGGATCCGGCCTATGCTGTTATTTGTACGTGACAGTGTGCACATGCACATCTCTCACTCCATCCCCCGCAGATGGAATCCACATGTGAAATCGACGCCTTTTGCAAGCAGCCATAACTGCTTAAGTGCCAGTAAGCGGCTCATCAGATTTATCGCCTGCAATCCTACGTACACTTATTCATAGGGGCTAAGAAGATCGAGCAGATGGGGGGGGGGATGTTTAATGGATCTCAACCAGTCCACCCGTACTAAGAGGTTATAACTTGTTTCGCGGTGTTCTTGGGAAGATTAACGCAGATCCCTGAAGCGTGCCTGCCAGAAGCACCGGGAGATGCGGGATTCAGCTTTTGCTGCCAAGAAACTGCAGTCGTCGTATGGCCGTCGCGTCGCGCACATGCGATTCCACGCGTCCAGACCAGCCCTACACCACGGCCCTTAGCCAGGGACAAAGGGGCAGCCGCTCCGGGGTACACGTAGCAAGCAAGCTCGGAGAGCGCCTCGCCGAGCTCTGGCAGGCTCTCTAGGACCGAGAACCCTGCCTTTTCGTCTCCCCCCTCCCTCTCGGCCCGGCCACCTCCCAATCAAGGCCTGGCATTGCCTTAGCAACAGGCTAACAAACCCGCCGGGCCAATGACCGCGGGAGTGCTGGGCGGGGCTTCGGCGAGCCTGTTAGGCTGAGGGCTTGCTGCCCGCCCGCCCAGCTAAGTCATTGAAACTCCTCTGCCTGCTTGACCGGGGAGGGGGGTGGTAGGGAGAGCGAAATGTTACAGTCAAGCGAGCCAGTCGCTGACTGTAGTGGCACGGAAGCTGGATGAATGAGTCCAGCCAGTTCACAGAAGTGAGCTTCGCCAAGGTCTCATAGCAGGGGCTTAGTCAAAGCGGCAAGTCATCCCTTGTCTTTTGTTCCTGCCAAATACAGGCACACAGGAAGGGGACTGGGTGCAACAGGAACAGGTGCAAGCCCCGTTTTGCCTTCTGAAAAGGCACTGATTGGATTCTTTTGCTTGCGTCCTACCACTTTCTCAAACGCTCGATGGGGTGGCTTCCTTTCCCCCCGTTTGCTCGTTTCAGTTTCTCGGGAACAGCTTTAAGCCTAAAAATAGGAGGATGAGTTTACACGTAAAAAAAATAAAAATAAAAAATCAGCTGCTTCATAATCTCAAGCAGCTTCATAATGCAAGTTTTCTGGTCTTCCACCTTTCCGACGACCATCTTTACACTTTTTCCCCTTTTGCAATAAATATAGATACTTGGGAAGCGATAGAATATACTGCGCAACTAATTTGTGGATTAAAAATAAAAATCAAGAGGGTGATCACTCCTACAATTTTTTTTCCTGTATCTGCAGTAGGTCTACTGCATATACATTTATCTCTGCTTAAAAGAGCAAGCCAAAATTACATAACCAGCTTTAACATTTTCTTGTGCTAGGAATTAAGTCATCGCCACCACCTGACGCGTGTAACCAATCTGCTGTGAGGAGAAGGAGCACCCCCTCCCTTCTCTTCAGTACTGGTCCCAAACAGGATTGAACCGCTTCTAACAAAGGGTGGAAACTTCAGAAAAACAACCTTAGACTCTCCTATACTTCCACATTGGTACCATTTCAAACAATAGATTAACAATCTGAAGCCCCATTTGGCCCCTGACAAGGTTTATCCCAGTTTTCCTAACTAAAATTACTCTCCATTCTCAGTATTCCTTGCCTTGACATAGGCGATTTCATTGACTGCAGAACTCCCCAACTTAGCACGGACGCTTTAATTCGAAAATGGATTCATCTAAGTGGGGTCCCCCCCACCCGAGTCATCCAGAGCACAGCTTTACATTCGCCTCGCTAACAAGAAACATTCTAGAATAAGAGGGCTCATTTGCCAACTTTTCCCAGCTTTAGTAAAAGAGATGCGGACCTACACGTGGGGTGCTGAAAGCAAGTGTCAAAATAAACCGCAGGGAACCCTTTCTCTGTCTTTCTTCATCCTGAAGACATTACTGATTAGCTCGAACCCTGTAAGCCAGTTCTTTAGTATTTTAGGGGGGTATTTTGGTTTTGGTAGGCAGATGCAATAAAATATTCCCATAAGAGTAATAGCCTTAAAACACCCAACACCTTTTAAACGGGACGTGCCTATGAACGGGTCTTGTTTAAAAGAGCCCATTCAGGCAGAGAAAAGGTCTTGCCTGGAAGACATGCAGACGCACCAAGATTCGTTGCTGGTTCAGTCCCTTCCCTTCCATATATGCTCAATAGATTTAAATGGTCATACATGCTAAGCTTGCAATGCTGAAGTAACTTATGGGGAGTAAGTTCCATTGCACTCAGTGGAACTGACTTCTGAGCAACCATGCTTAGGCTCGCACAGCAGTTTGCAGTCATTGGGAGAGAAAATCTGCCCTTTGACACTGCATCATGTTAGAATTCTTCATTAAATTCCAGACTTACCTCTTTCGTGCCCAATTAGGATATCCTTGTGGTTGAAATATTCTACTTCTTCAGTGTAGTTCTGTGTGTAGGCAGTGTTGGATCCAGCATTTCTCGATTCAGTCCAGCGTACTTTTGCATGTCCTCTTGCATGGATTTTAAGCGATTTGACTCTAATTTCCCCAGTCACTTCTAAATTCACCCTTCCTGAGACTGTATCCCCGCTAGAATAGACGGGGACATTGCTGTCATTAAGACAGTCAAAGCTTATTGTCAAACTCTTCACTTTACCCAGCACCATGTTGAATTTTTTTTCTTAATAACAAAGTCTATAAAAATATACTGTAAGAAAAAAGAGGGGAAGAAAAGTCAAGATCTCATATAAAAATGTGATCTTCACTTGACACTGATCAATTCCTGTGTCCTGCAAAAAAAAAAAAGGTTGCAGGCAGGGATCAGCGGCTTCTCCACGAGCACTTCATCGGGATTGCTTAAAAAGTAGCAACGCCAGATGCTGCTCACAGCTGCTTTCCAGCTCTGTGGTCTCCTTACAAAGACGAGCAGTCGGCTGCTGCCAGCTCATTTAAGAGCAGCTTTGTGAAAAACAAGCCCCGTGCGCATGCGTGGCAGTGGTGCATCCTCCTCTTTCTCCCCCCCCTCCCCCGTACAGTAGGTGTAATAGAGGCAGAGCAATGCAAGCTCTTCTTTCCACCCCTCGTCTGGGTTGAAGACTACCCTGACCTCGAGGAAGACGTTTCACGGGGTTTGGGCTGGCAGCTGGCAATCGGCTGCGGAAAAGACGCGCTGCCTGTTGCATTGAGAAAGCAAGACGGGCTCCCAGAACCAAACAGCTGATCACAGAAGCCTCAATGCATCGCCTACGGTGCAGTGCTGGAATGAAGAGTTTAAAGGAGGCAGGCAGGGCAAGTGTCTTTTAAAGGCTGCTCCAGGATAACACAAAATGCAAGCGGTACTATGTGTGTGTGTGAAATAATGCTTCCGTGAACAAGCAGTAAAGTTAATGGGGAAGTAGCGAAGAGATTTCTATAGTCTCTGCAATTATGCCAATCTACCAGAGGCTGGGAGTTTCCCAGTTGCACAGCAGTTTGCAGAGGACAAGCCAAGTAGGTGCAGAGAGGAAGCCTGGCCCAGGTGGCGATAATTCTGCCAAGGGATAGAAGAATGCTGCTGGTACATGCACTTCCAACCCCACCTGCAAAGGTTAGCAGGTCTGCTATATGGGAGAATGTTCTTCCAGGTCCAAGAAGCCGCTTTCATTTTCAGACTAGGGCTATTAAAGATGCCCACTCCTCTTATGATTTCTCTTCTTGGGGCTGATGACAGCTGGGCAGCTCAGGAGAAGCCAGTGGAGGTGGAGCCAGGTATCACAATAGAGAGAGCCAATGGTAGTTGGAACCAGGAGAGGTCACAATAGCAGTGAGGGTAGGCAGAGTCATTAGCAGAGGGAGCCAGGTGTCATAGTAGGAAGAGCCAATGGTCGGCCGAAGCTTCGAGAGGCGAGTAATTTAAATGTCATCAGTAGAAAGCAGAGGGGTCTGGTTTGGTCCATGCAACAACCCAAAAGTACTCCTTCAAGCTGTATTTTTCTGCCTTAGAAGCAAGCCACTGCACATGCAAGGTAAAGTGAGGCCAATACAAGAATGAAGATTATGGCTGCAAAGGTGTGTGTGTGTTGAGAAGGGAGAAATCCATACAACTAGACAGACTTGTTCAAGCCCAGATTTGTCTGATGCTGCAACAATGTATTCTCACAGAAGGAAACTTAAGGTTTGGTTTAAAAATAGTGTGGGGGTTGGGTTTCCTGTCCCACATCATGTTTCCCCCTCCATTTTTTATTAGGCTTTTCCACCATGCCTATGGAGGTACTCAGCCCTTCTGATTTGCCACCCCAACTCAACAACAGCAAAACCTGGTGAGGAAAGCAAGGCTGTGCACTGCTGCTCTGCTGTGCTCTCTGATCTCTTGGCACTGCAGCTCTTTCTTTCCCTGGCCTGCATTGTCTTGGAACTTGGTTGTCATCATTAGTGCACGACAAGCAGGCAGTGCATGCATGAACTGTGCCTGCCCCCCCCCCCCCCCGGCCACTGCAGTGGCTTTGAATCAGGGCAGAGCATCCCAGAGGAATGTTCTGCCTCATTCCTCCAGTTTCAGCTTGATTAGCTCAGGAAAACTAGTCCAAGGGAAACTGGGCGGACTGAAGCAGCACCTTCAGCCTTGCTGCCTTGTCTGGAAAAATGGGGGAGGGTTGGAGCATGCATGTAGGCAGGAGGGAAGAGGGGTGTGTGTAGCAGCAGACACAACCTGCCAAGCAACAGTCTTCTGCTGTCAGGCAGCCAAGAGGGTGAAAGACACTTCAGTTGTTAGTTGTTGATGGTGATGGTTTGGGCTGTAAGGAGGAAGAATGTAGGCTCTTGCTGGAAGGCTTTGGTGGCAGGCCTCACTCTGCTCACCCTCTGCTCTTTGATCTGTCCTACACTGTTTGAAAAATCTTAGTGGATATAATAAACATATTAAAAATGTGTGCTTCATAAGGACAAGAAGCAGCTCACTGCAGTTTGTTTCTTTACAGTGCAATCCTGCATATACCCAGCCAAAAGTGAGTTAGCATCATAAGAGTTGGAAGGGATCTCAGGTGTTATCTAATCCAATGCAGGTGTATAGAATGGCAGCCTAAAAACATTAAAGGAGTAAGAGAACATTGCTTCTCTTGCATTAGTACACAGTTCTATATTGGCATCAAACAATATTGTGCAAACAAGCTTTTTTAGTCAACAGGCACAAAGAATTCTTTCTAATTATTGAGGTTTTCTGGGTAATCACTGTTCTTATGTGCTGTTCAGTTGTCTCCAACTTACGGTGACCCAATGAATGCATGTCCTCCAAAATGTACTGCCCTTCACTGACTATTTTGTCCTCAAATTGTTTGTTTTTTGTCCTCAAATTATTTGTTTTCCATTGTCTTTCTCTGAGCTGGATGAACTCAGCACTTCATGAGTTTATAAAAACTAAGTTTATTCTGAGCTTAAGAACTGATATTAACAAAAAACTATTGTTTTATTTTTCCATAGAGGGGCCAAGCATGAAAAGATAGGGGAAGGTTCACTTTACCAGGGTCTATTCCTTGCTGAAAAACCATGTCAGTGAAGAAAAAGAGGCTAACGGGGCAGTCCAGTCTGGATGCCTGTAAGCCTCGGAGCTTGCAGGAGGAAGCTCTGCTTCACCACACCTCCCATTCTGCATTTTTGCTAGCTAGCTGTGTCTGGCCATCCTGCTGAAGCTCTTTGGAGAGGGAGGTAAGGATGCTGCACCACCTTTACCTGCTCGAGATGGTTGAGCTTGTGAGCTCATAAAGTTAGCCAGCCTGGTTATTTCAGCCCTGGCTACAACTCTTACATTGGCTGGGGCATGCTAGAAGTGGTCGGCCTTTTTCTGTGATGCGTATGGGACGGCATACTAAGTTGTCCAAATAAATAAATAAATAAAATGCAAAGGATTGTACCCTAAATTGGCAAACAAATTTTAGAATGCTATGAAAATTTGTGTTTGTGTGGAACAAACACGTTCTGAACTGCTGAAAATTTCATCCACATTTTATTTATTTATTTATTTAAAACATTTTTATGACGCCCCCATCACAACAAGGCCTCGGGGCGGCTCACAACAAAAACAAAATACATAAATATAACAATTAAACAGTAAAAATATTAAAACCCAGTGCATCTCAGCTTAAAAGATTTAAAATCCTATAAATACAAATAAATTAACAATTAAAATGAGTTTTAAATAAAAAGGTTTTAGCCTGGTGCCGAAAAACAAATAACGACGGCACCAGGTGGACTTCTCTGGGGAGCGCATTCCATAGATGGGGCGCCACCGCAGAGAAAGCCCTCCTCCGGGTACTCACCCTCCTAATATTCACAGAGGGTTCCCGGAGAAGGGCATCTGTAGCTGATCTCAAGGGGTGGGAGGGCATATATGGATTCCTTTAGATTTTTTGACCATTGTCCTCCATTTTGATAGAAGAGAAACTGTCTTTTTAAAAGTCCAAAGAAGAAGAAAAATTCAGAGGAATTCTCATGCTTGGGCCTTGGGGAGCTTGTGCTTACCCTTTGAGGAGGCCCAGGCACATGGATCCTGATCGTCTTCAAAGTACAATAATTTCTCCATTAGCCTGCCACTTCCTGCATTTCACTTGAAGCCCAAGGAGCACAATATGAGATAATGCCTTTCCACATTGGGCTTTTCAAGATCAGGAAATGTGACCTACCAAGGAGACTGCAGAGTTACAGTGAGATGTGTAGAAGAAGGAATAAAACACAAACAGTACCCTGGGCCAGTTTGCAATGACAAGACAGGCCCAAGACACCTCCAAAGAAATTCTGAAGACATTCTGAGAATGAGGCTGAAAAATGGCACCCTCTTCCATGAGGGGATGAAAACCTTTAAGAAATTGGATGAAAGTTTTTGATACAGCAGTAGGCCCACCCCTTCCCTACAGGTGGACACAACACAGTTCCCCCCATTCACAATCCCCACACAGCTTCCAGGGAAGGAGAGGCATTAGAAATATGGGCAAGAAATATCTAGTACTAGCCCCCAGAAACGTATTTGGGAGATTTGGAGAAAGCTGCCAAACCCTGAAGAATCACAACTAGACCCAGGCCAAATTTCTCCAAAGACAATCTTGACAAAAGTTCTGAGGTTTTGCCTTTTCCCGCACCCCTGCCCCCAAGAAATAGAAGGCTGCTTTGCAGAACTTTCTCCGCCATGGGGCTTGGTAGTCAGACTGTCAATGCATCTGGGGCTGTTGTGCTGATGGTGCGAAAAACGAAACCCATTAAAAAAAGAATCTGTATTATAACCACCGCTAATGGTGAGCACCTCTGAGAAACAGATAATTGCTCTTCTCGTGGGAGAAATTTGGTGAAATGGTTCTCCCAATTACTTTGCCCACTGACAGGGTGGAGGATTCTCAGAGGCCATTTATAGGCAACTGTATTCTGAACAGTTGGATGCTTGTGGAATTGTAGCGGCGGTGATGGGGTCTGGGGTGAATTTAGTTGATCTGCATATGGGAAAGTGGCTTGCTCTGTAATCCACTGTTCTTCTGAATGCTATTAGTTGGTTGAAGGGCTATCTTTCAATTTTTTTCAATTTTCTTTTTTGATTTCCCCCCTAGCAGTTTAGAGCTGCTAGAAAGCAAGCAGCTGCCATGTGGGCTGAAATGGGTCCTCAAGTGTCTGTGGGAGGGATGCTACATAATGAAATACCATCCCTCACAAGGACATCTTGAAGAAAAAGACAAGGCTGCCTTCCACACTACATGGGGAGGCTTTCTAGCATTCAGCATCCCTTATTGTTCCTCCCAGGAGCATTTTCAGCCCTGTGTCAATCCACATGTTAACTGCTACACTTTCAAAGAGAAGTCTCAGTCTGCCTCATGTACTTTTTATTTTAAAGAAAGAATGTCGGGCAGATTTTTAAAAAAGGGGAAAATCTACACATGTTAATTCAGTTCTGATTCAATAGACATAATATCA